CCTTGTTTCTGTCCCGGCTCAAAGTCAGAGTCTGAACTGGAATCTGAACTGGAGCTTTGAGTGGAAGGACTGGAGGGAACCGACTGCTGTAAAGAGAAGGAGAGATCAACGAGTCCATGAAGAGACAATAACGACACTCATGGGGCCGAGTATCAGATGGGCTCACGATGAAATCATTGTTTTTTCTTTTAAACGGACGAGTAAGACCTCAGTCTGTTCAAGAGAAACTAACGAATTTTTCACATCAAACATTTCCCCGTTTCAAAGCTCGACTGAAGCGACCGTCTCGTCCTCCTACCTCTGATTTTGACGATGCTTCATCCTCTGAATTCGACTCTTCTGAGTCTTGTAGTTTCTTGGCCTCTTTCAGTTCCTGCGTGTCGTTTTTGCTCGGGAACCAGCGACCCTTCTCCTTCGGAGGCTTCTTCTCAGCGTACGACTGGTTTGCTGCGGACGAGGACGACACACGGGGGGAGGTTCCTGTGAAGGCCCCGCTGCCGGCGGGCCCTTTCGGCCCCTCGGAGCTCGCCTTCTTCTGCTTCTTAGCGCTCGGTTTGGGAGACTCCACCGTGGACGGTCGTTTCCCCGGTGCTTTGGGCTCCGGCGGCCCTCCGCCGCCACCTCCTCCCCCACCTCCTCCGCCGCTACCGGCCCCCCCTCCTTTCGGAGACATCCCCTCCATCTTTGAGTCCTTCAGTGTGATTTTAGGCTCCTTGAAGGCCGCCTTGGGGAGGACCTTTACTTCATCTTTCACTTTGATGTCTGACGGCTTTTTTGAAGACGAGGACGAGGAAGAGGAAGGATCGCGGCCAGGCTTGCTGCTTCCGTCTCGATCATTGTCTCCTTTTGAAGCGGCTTTGCTCTCAGAGTCCTTGCGTGGCCGCTCTCGGTGCTCCTTGGTTAACTTGTGTGGTTTGGGTCCTTTGCTGCTGCCTCCACTTCCTTCTTTGCTGGGTTCCTACAGAGAGAAACAACAACATCATCATCATCGACTCTTCTCCTCGACCATTCGGCTCAAACAGCCGCAAACAGAATATCAGCTCAGCTGCCTCGAGTACAAACGCACCGTGTCCTCCCAAGATTCCCAAATCAAGCCTTTCCAGTCTGGCATGTAATCACATTACATGTGACTGTCTCAGTAATTAGTCTAAGTAAACAGAATAACATCTGCCTAACAGCTGTATGAAGCTCACCATCGCTCAGAGCTGAATGAGGACATCCTCAATTTCAGTCCCAGCATGTTGGTCTTTAATAGGCTCGAGATCTTAGCTGATTCTGTTAGCTAGCTATAACTGTTAACA